ACACCCCCACCACCCCCCCACCCCCCCCCCCCCCCCCCCCCCCCCCCCCCACCCACACACACACACACACACACAAAAAAAAAAAGAAAAAAAAAGAAGAAGATAAAATTGATGTTGTTGGGGTGTTTACAAAGAAAATTGTCAAATGGAACTACTGAGAAACTATGTATATGGTTTGGTAAGTGGATAATTTCCTTGTTGAGTTTTACAGATGAAAACTTGTTCTTCCTTCTAATTTTCTGTTTGTATTGTTCATTTATTTGTTTTGGATTATAGAGGACACCACTGGTTGACCCTCATTTGTTTCTTAAGACTTTGTTCTGCTTGTTCCACTCGTTGTAGCCTTGGTAGAAAGGTGGAAACATTACTTAAGTTGATTGAGGATCTTTTGTTGGATAATAAACTAAAGGCAAAGCATCCACGTTGTAGGATTAACCTTTAGTTTTTGTTATTCAGGACTTTCATATCCTCCACAGCTGCACCGAATAACTTGAGTATCTTCTCCTTACTTGTCTCCACAAACATATCCTTGAATCAATGCAGAAATTAAATTTGGCTGGGGTGTGGTGTCGGGTGTGTGGTTCTGGTAAATGAACTGCTTGATACTATTGCCTTCTGGCCTTTGAACTGCAGCGGTCGTGTATATATATATATAACCTTTTTAAATTAAGCTTCTATGATCTAATGCTTGAGCTTTCCCACCCGAACCATTTTACCTTTGTATTAGCCATGCTTATCCAGTTTAAGGAAAAAAGAGTTTTAAAAAGCAGAAATATAACATTTTGACTTTTTGGTTTTTGATTACGGTGGTATCTTAGATCAGTTTGTATGCACCTCAACTAATCCATTGGGTACCTAGTAAATTCTACAAGAACAAATATCAGGTAACTCAGCCACTAAAGCTTAGACATGTGCAAAGAAATCACCTAGTGACGCCTCTGTTGGGATTCATACCTTGGTCTCCAAGGCTATTTCATGTTTTCGACCGCTTGGTCAATTTCTTAGAGTTTGAAATATTATTAGATCAAGTTCAGATGTTTGTCTTTTTTTGGCTTTTTGGTGCAAAGTGAGCAACATCAGCGATGTGAAGAAGTATAGTGAACTTCATCTGCCTTGTAGAGTAGAAGGAGCCGACGTTTCTTGCAACTGTTGTTTCTGCACAATCTTTCTGTACTCAGGTTCAATGAGGTCTATTTTGACTTATCAAAGAAAAAAAAAGGTGTTTATTTTTGTTCTATTCATGTTAAAACTTGACCAAATTCTCGAGGCAACTAAACATGCAACAGTAGGTAGGTTCAGCTGCTTACTACATCACGTTTTACATCACTAATTTTTGTGTAATGTGCTCACTGAATGAATTTTAACTGTATATGATATGGCTCTCTAACTCAATATCTTTGTGGGTTGATCCTCTGGTTGAGCTTGAGATTTGCTGTTGTATTGATGTTTACATTTGACGCTATAGCTTAATTCCATATTTGACCTGGATCTGTTTATATTAGGTTCATGCTGCTTCATTGATTCATGATGATTTGCCCTGCATGGATGATGACACAACTCGACGAGGTCTGCCTGCAAATCACACAGTTTTCGGTGTAGATATGGCAATTTTAGCCGGGGATGCCTTGTTCCCTCTTGGTTTCCAGCATATTGTGTCCCATACTCCAAGTGATCTAGTTCCCGAGGATCGAATCCTCAGGGTCATTACAGAGATTGCTCGAGCTGTGGGGTCCACTGGCATGGCTGCTGGCCAGTTCCTTGACCTTGAGGGTGGACCAAATGCTATTGATTTTGTTCAAGAGAAGAAATATGGTGAAATGGGTGAGTGCTCTGCCGTTTGTGGAGCTCTCTTGGCTGGTGCTTCAGATGAGGAGATCCAACACATGAGAAAATATGGTCGAGCTGTTGGTGTCTTATATCAGGTTGTTGACGATATATTGGACGCAAAGAAGACAGAGGACACAACCGAGGGGAAGAAAAAGAAAGGCAAAAGCTATGTCAGCGTTTATGGCATTGAGAAGGCTGTGAAAGTTGCTGAGGATCTTGGAGCGCAGGCTAAGAGAGAGTTAGATGGTCTCGAGAAATACGGCGATAAAGTCATGCCACTTTACAGTTTTCTTGATTATGCTGCAGATAGAGGTTTTAGCATTGACGACCAAGTCTAGATCAATATTTAGCATTGTTGTCTTGTGTTTTATCATGATATTTGACCTAAACTATTTAACTTTGTTGTATGGAGAGGTCTTGTTAATGAAGTTATGATTTCTATATCCCCAGCTAAATACTGTCACACCTCTTTATAGCATTGACGTTTGTCCGGATATATTTTGGCTGCTATAAAGAAATGCTGTTATATAACTTAATATGAAAGTCGGTCCAAAGAAATGTTGGCTCCTTCATGTCCATTGATCTAGGATTGATATTACTAGGAAGTTCCCAATAGAATTCATGAAGCAATGAACCTAAAACGAAGTGCAACATTCGATTACCTAAAGGAAGGCCTACACACATCCTCCTGCCAGCACCAAATGGTAAGAACTCAAAACATTGTCCTTTGAAATCAGATTTCGAGTTAAGGAACCTCTTGGGCTTGAAATCCAAAGGGTCGTCCCAGCTTTCAGGATCTCTTCCAATTGCCCAAACGTCGTTAACCAACACTTGAGTGTCTTCTGGTATATCATACCCCATGAAGTTAGTGTCGTGCATTGCTCTTCTTGGAAATAAGAAAGGAAGGGGAGGATGTAATCTTAGTGCTTCTTTAACCACATCTGCTTTTACTATTGCCATTGCTTCAGGGTGGCGCAGGAGCTCTGTCAGCGTTCATTCCACGCTGGTGCTAGTAGTGGAATAACATAAAACTAAAATTTTATTGACTTAGCTAAACAATGTAATTTTCAGACGAAGGAGTGTCATTTGACACCCCTTAGCATAAGGTGACTCCGCCATTATCTCTCTATCACAAAACATTAGGGTTTAGGTTGTGATATAAGTAGTTGCTCCAACATAACATGACATCCGCTACCTACCAACCACTTTATAATCGCGATGTGTTCTAGTCTTCCGCTACAAGAAGCTTTTATAATCATACAAATGATGCAATAAGTTTAATAAGACGACAAATATTAAGTCTTTCATTTTTTTCTTTTAACTTTATGTTAAGTTAAAATATGTCACATGAATTGAAACGAATAAATTACGGGGTAAATTATTTTTAAAAAAACTGAATTAGCTGCAACTTTTTAAGGTATTAAATAATAGAACTTGATCTGGCCATGAAATTAGTTTGAGATTGACTCACATTACAAAGTCATAATCATCCGTTAATTTTAACGGCTTCTCTTTTATCTAATACTTCTTTGCCCTCAAAATAAGTGTCGTTTTAATTTTTTTACGCCTATTAAAAAAAAATAAAAATACAATACATATATTACTTATTAAGTTGCGCCTATTTATTAGATGTTTCTTTAGAATTGAACACTATTAATAAGAGTAGTATATTAAGCATTTTGTGTTCACCTAAGATTCCAAAAAGATCAAGACTTCAAAGTAGTATGATATAAGCAATTCATTTTACCTTTATAAAGTCAATTGCAAATTTATATTTCTTTTCTTTCTTATTTTATATGTTTGTTGTCACGATCCAAATTAGGGAATCGTGATCAACACGTGAAGTTTTCATTTTTTTTTTTGGGCATATTCACTCACATGTAAACCTATATTTGTTTTTGTTAAGAGTAACAATGTGAAAATGTTTTTTTTTTTTTAATTAGTTACAGTATAATTCAAGCAAGATTTGCCTGCTCTAATATTACATTGAATTGCGTGATATTTTTAACTAAAATGTTCACAGTTTCTAGAGAGTTGACTTTGTTGATAAGTGTATTGCATGTGTATGTCAAGTCATACAAAATATGTTATCATAAAATAATATTAAAAGTATTAAAACAAACATGTGAGGTAATAATTATACATCAAAGAAAAAAATATAAAATTTATGTAAGTGTTTAATGTGGATCGCCATATTATCACTTAATTATTCACGTCATATTGTGGAGAGTTGATGTTGGCCTTCTAAATTGTTGTAGTATATAGAGGGCGGGTCAAACATGACTTGACAAGCTTCTGAAGATGAGGTGCACATGACATCTTAGGTTAATCTCACATCGAAATGAGAGTAAAGTGAAGAGCTTTATAAGACATAGCTCAAGGTCACATGATGTTACACATACTTTTGGACTCAAGTAGCCCAAAAGACAAATCCGTGAAGTCTATTAGGCCAAACCGTACAGTACGTGTCATGTACTTGGGTCGTGATAGTAGTTTTGTATGCTTTCGTGGTACTCTCTCGTAGTTTGCTTAGATTTGAGTACCTGACTAGTTGGTTGAAGATTCGTCCATACAGTTAACAGAGGCGAATCCAAGATCTGAAAGCTTACCGAGGCAAATATTCCAACTCTAAGCTTAAGATAACTCAAATGCATAAACAGAACTAATATCTCAGCCTTTTATTACAAGAAAATTCACAAGAAAGTCGAATCTCATGTTCTCTGTGGCTTCATGTCACAGCATCAAAAGACAACCTTAAAGCGATTTCAATTTAACCAGATGTTTTTGTTGGTACTGCTGTCAAAGGATTGAATTTTCTCACTGTCATTCCCATCCTCTCTTTCATGTCCATTGATTTAGGAGTGACATTACTAGGAAGCTCCCAATCGAATTCATGAAGCAACGAGCCTAAAACAAAGTGTAACATTCGATTACCTAAAGGAAGGCCTACACACATCCTCCTGCCAGCACCAAATGGTAAAAACTCGTAACACTGTCCTTTGAAGTCAGTCTTCGAGTTAAGGAACCTCTCAGGCTTGAAATCCAAAGGGTCGTCCCAGTATTCAGGATCTCTTCCAATTGCCCAAACGTTCACAAACACTTGAGTGTCTTCTGGTATGTCATACCCCATGAAGTTAGTGTCGTGCATCGCTCTTCTTGGCACTAAGAAAGGAAGTGGAGGATGTAATCTTAGCACTTCTTTAACCACAGCTTGCATATAGGGCAGATTGTCAATGTCACTTTCTTCAAACTTCTTGTTTTGTCCTACAATTTGAAATATCTCTGCTTTTACTCTTGCCATTGCTTCAGGGTGGCGTAGGAGCTCTGTCAACGTCCATTCCACACTGCTGCTAGTCGTCTCTGATCCGGCTAAAAACATCTCCTGCATTTCATATCTAATCAAGACTCATCTCAAGTAAACTTTGTACATTAGCATTCTTGATGATATCAACACCATCTTAATTAAATTTGTCTGTCTTACTTTCCCTTTTAGTCTGTTTGAAAAAGAATCTCTCTTTCCACATGACATGTTTAAGACTACGAGATTCAAAAGTCTCATTTACTTTCTTAAACCTCGTGCCAAGTCAAAACCAGACAAGCAAATTGAAAAAGAGGGAGTAGCTTGTTTGGGACTGGAGCGTAAAGATAAGTTGTATGTGCATTAAGACTTACCAATATGAATATGGTGATCTGATGTTCTGATAACTTAGCTGGTTCATCTTTCCCACTACCCTCAAATTCAAGCAACACATCTAAAAAATCGTTCTTTTTTTCTTCACCATCTTCGCGCTCCTTCATCCGTTCCTTGACAAACGTAGAGGCAATGCCAAGAGCTATTCCCATTTCGCGATGCATCTTCTTCTTCAAACCTTGTAAATCGAACCTCCTAAGACGTGGAAAAATGTCTGAGATATTTGGAGTGCCTGACAAAATCATGATCCTCATCATAGCATTGAAGAACTCAGAAGCCTTCTTTGATCCTGGATGGACTAAATCACGCGAAAACATCAAATTCCCTAACATATTAAACGTTGAGAGGAACACAAATCGCGTTACCTCAATCCCACTTCCCTTGACTTCCACTGAATTCACTTCTTTCTCAATCCAATGAATCATATCATCAACACATTTCCTCCTGATATCCACTGTTTCATTGATCCGTTTGTGCACGAACATTTCAACGGTGCATATCCGTCTTAGCACACGCCAATACGTGCCATACCGGGCTATAGCTAAGGACCCAAGGTTGTAGTCATGAACCAACATGGTGTCAATGATTTTGCGCTCTGCGAAGGCGAAATCATGGTTCTTGAAAAACTCTGTAGCTGTGTTGGCTGATAAAATTGACATGGTCTTGACAGAGCCAATTTTGAACCATACAACAGGGCCATATTTTTGTTTAAATTCTGCAATTGTTTGATATGGTAATGTTCCAAGATCAAACATGTTGCCAAAAATTGGGAAACCAGGTGGTCCTGGTGGTAACTTGTAAGAAGAAGAATTTGTTTTGGAAAATACTATGATTAGAGTTGTTGGTACTATGATGATTATAGACCAAACAACATAGTTCCACTCCCATTCCATTTTTCCTCAAATTTTCAAGTTGTTTTTTTGGTGTGTTGCTTCAAGATGCCATTTATTTATAGTAGTAATTACCCTCTATGTTGCTTGGATCGTCTAAAAATGTTGTTGCATCCGTGTCAGATATTGCAAAAGATGTGAGTATTACTTTTGGAGGATCTGATATACATCTGTCGGCATATATGAAGAGTTTGAGCAACATAGATCACACATGACACTAATTTTTCTTATATAAGTATAACTTCAATGATTATGGTGCTCTAATTAAAAGCCTTCGAGGGTAAATCAATACTTTTTAGTAATTACCCTCTATGTTGCTTGGATTGTCCAAAACTGTTGTCGTATTCATGTTGAATCTTGCAAAAGATGCATGACTTTTGAAGGATTTGATATGTATCCATCGACATAAGTAAAACTACAATGTATGAATAGGATATACGATGTAAAGATCTCTCATTCCACTCTCTTTACCACAAGTCATTAAGGTTTAGATTGTGATATAGATAGTAGTTGCTCTGACATACATTACAATAAATAAAGGATTTAGTGATAATATTTAGTGACAATAATATAATTGCCGCTTTATGAATATTTATAACCAGTATAAATTTTAGCACATAAATTTATACTCCGCATTAAAAGTAGAACTCAATATTATCACACTAATAAGAAGCTTTTATACATATAGTCATACAAATAATATAACATATTTAAGATGATAAGTTTTAAAAATCTTTTCATTTTTTAAAAAACTTTGAATATCTAGCGTAAATATAAATTAAAACCGAAAAATTAGAATGTACTGAACGTGCTGCCATTTGCCAACTTCGAGATATTCATTGATTATAATAATAGGATTTTCTTTATAAAAAACAAAGGTGTATAATATTATTATATGCAATCTTAATTTTTTAAATAGCTTTTAAACTGAATTAGCTGCAATTTTTAAGGTATTAAACATAGAACTTGATCTGCCCATGTTAGCTGAGATTGGCTCACTTTACAAAGTTTATCATTAGTTAATTTTAATGATTTTCTCTTTTTTTTTTCTTCTAATAATTAGCATAATACTTGTACTGATTTTGGCTAATATATAGGGTATGATTATTTTAGGTCATGTGTTGCGCTTTTACGTGTAAATCGATCAAAGTCCAAATCCCTCAATTTCAAGCTCTTCTAGAAATCACTTTCAAAAGATTTATTTTTTCTTATTGTTATTCCAATACTATCTCATCTATGTTAATAGGTCTAGGAGAAACATTGTGAGGAAGCACCAAGTTAAATTAATGGAGCAAAGAAAGTGAAACGCATCATACGGCGATCTGGAAGGAAGATATCTGAAATTATTCCTAAAAGAAACTCCTATGATGAGGTTCATT